AGGGTCAAAAATTAAGATAACTTTTTAATTGGTTTAAATAATTAAATTGCATTGTTGAATTGTCCCCCAGCAAGTTGTCCTGTGGCTAGTTGGCCATGGCAAATTGGCCACAGCGAATTGTCCCAAGGGCTGGGATTGCCGTTGACAACGCACATCTCCAAGGTCCCATCAGATGACAACGTTTAAGACAGGGGACTTGGCGTGTGCCCACTCTGTCTAATCTAGTAGGATCCTCAGGGAGAGGTGGTCCTCAGGTAACCTGGCCCTCTACTTTAAAGCTGATAACCAGCACCTTGAATTGTACCCCGAAAGCAACTGGAAGCCAGTACAACTCCTGCAGCAGTAGTATTAGTCAGGTGACCCATGGTGTATTTAAACTGCGTGTGCCACTGCATTTTGGGCTAGTTGCAGCTTCTGGATACAACTACGTGGCAGCTCCAGGTAGAGTTATTTGGGTAGTTGCAATCTATTTTTAAGATGCAGCACACATTGGTTTTGGGACTATTTTCTGAATATTAGTACAGTGTTAGTAAAGCACTTATGAATGGATATGTGCCATTTCCTTCTAATCCATAGGCTTTTCCAGCTGCTAGAATCAAATGGAGAAGATGTTTCAAACTGGTGTCCTCTGGGTATGCTGGAACTGCAGCTTTCTTGATCCCCATCCAACAGAATCATTTATTTATTTATTTATTTATTTATTTATTTATTTATTTATTTACTTACTTACTTACTTACTTACTTACTTACTTACTTACTTACTTACTTACTTACTTATTTACTTACTTATTTACATTTATTTCCCGCCTTTATTATTTTTACAAATAATTCATGACAGCATGAAACATGTCCAACACGCCTTCTTCCTCTTATTTTCCCCATAACAACAACCCTGAGGCTCAGAGAGAGTGACTGGCTTAAGGTTACCATGCCAGTTTTTCATGCCTAAGGCAGAACTAGAACTCATGATTTCCTACTTTCTAGCCTGGTGCTGCATGAGGAATTCTGGGTATTGCAATCCTAACACGCTATAGACCCCAGGTTAAGGAAGTTTGAAATAAAAATTTCATTCCTGATGGCTTAACCACAGTGGAATATATGGAAATAATATATATTTCATTTGGAGGAAAGAGTTACGGTTTTATGTGACGATGGGAAGAAGCTTTCATGGTTTTGTTTTGTGGTTGAGGGACTAAGATTCCGGTTCTTAAATTTATTGGATTAATTCCAGCATCTTACTTCATGCAATAGTCAACTGGATTTCTGCAAATGCAGAGATAGTATGTCTTAACATTCATGTCTGTAAAATATTTTAAATTTATGGCCATCACCACATCTTCAGGAAGTGGATTCCATAGCTGATTTATGATGGATATCACATTCCTTTGATGCAAGAACCCTGAATGATTATCGAGACAGGGACCACTGTACTTTCTCAAAAGATAGGCCTGTTTAAATATTAGATCATTTTATGTTTAATAAATGCTTTCCAGTAAATTTCCTAGAATCAGTGTTAAACAAGTAAGCAACTTATCCAATCTTTACCCAGTCCCCTTTTAAAAATAGTTGTTACATAGGACACTTTGAACCTTCTAATACAGAAGGCAGTTTTGGTGACCTCTTGCATCTCTTTTTCCAAAGACCAGCAATTTCATATGAGAGAGCTTTAAGACTCCTTGGGCCAATGGTTAACTATCAATTTGCTGTCAGTAAGGCCCAGAACTTTTTCTTACCCTTATTTGTCTCAGTTTTTCAAAATCGTATTTTTTTTTAAATGTCTTGCCTTTTCACTTAAGAGCGAATTCAGAATTTCTGCAGATTCATTCATTCATCTATCAAACTTGAATATTACCCAACTCCACTGATGTGGGGGGGGGGGCTCACAACAATCCAAACAAGGAAATCACAATAAAACTAATTACCATTGGGGGGGGGAAAAGACAAAATATGGCAAGAATGACAGATTGGATAGATAGTCTTCATAGCTCTTCTAAACATAGCTCTTCTGGATGAGGGCCATCCAGATCTTGGGAGAACCTCATTCCAGAAGGCAGGTGCTGCTCAGATAAGGTGCACTTCAGAGTCCTTTTAGATGACATTGATTAATCAAAGGAACCCAGAGCATGCTAACCCTGCAAGATTGAATTGGCCGGGCAGATTCTTCTTCTCTATTAGTTCTGCTGTCATGCTTTGCCTCTTGAGCAGATTTGTGCTGTGCTCTCATATAAATAATAGTGACTTGAACTCAGCCAATTGAAACCTCTGGCTGACCTTTGTTGGGCTTGGAAAATGAACAGAGCTGATTAGTACTAGGATGGGAAACCACTAACCCAGAGGCCCCCAACCTTTTGAGCACCAGGGACCGGTTCCATGGAGAGAGGTTTTTCTGTGGACCGGAGGGGGTGTGGTTTCGTGTGCTGCCTGCATCCCGCGGATGGGGCTTCGCTTATTTCTGCAGCCCAGGAATATAACGCCGCCAGGAAAATTACACAAAGGCGTATGTAAGGTCATGAATCAAGCTTGACTTGAAGATCTTTTATCTTTTACCCCAAGTTGCTGATATATAATTATTGCCATTGGAGCTCAGTTATGGACATGGCTCTTCAATGCTGTTAATGGCATTGGTGTATCATACCTTTCTTGGAACTTTTGCAAGAGATTATTCTTATTCTATTGGAATGTGATTAGTTAGTTATAAAGATGAAGCGGGTAATCTTTTCTCTTGGATATAAGTACAATATTGCCACACGAAGGACTGCACGAACAAAAATAGCTGCTATTTTTTATGGAGTCTTTGAGACTCCTGTTATGGTCTGTGATCTAATGTATGTACGGTAATAATCGAGTCACCTTCTACAAGTTATATATAAGATATTATTTGACCATTGTGTAAGCTGTTAGGAGCGGTTAGCTTTTCCCATGGTAGTATTAATAGGTCAAAAGGCTGAGGCAGCCTAATCTAAATAGATCCAGTAGTAAAGCTGGTGAGGTAACATAAGTGGCACTGTAAACCCTTAGCTGACCCATCCAGTAATTGCAAAATCTCATCTGTTTGTGTTCTATCCCTTGTAGCATGACTCTTACCATTCTCTGAAGCTTTCTTCTTCCTGCAGAGAATGATACAACTACTGGTCAGTGTGAATAAGTCAGGATTATTAACTTTAATCCTTGAAGATCCCTTGTGTAAACAGGCTTAGGATGACTGAGGGAAAGTTTCAATTCTGAAATGAGTGAGAACTGTAGTAAGGGGTATAAACCAACCATAGATCCTGCTTTGGAAGGTTGAAAAAGTCTACTTGGGGAATGGACTGTTTCCGAAGCCATCAGCTTTGATACCAGTCTGAATCCAAATCCTACTATAGGAAAATGGCAACTTCATTTCTGTGGCTCCTTATGGAAGTCAGTGAACAACTGAAGTGTTTTTAAAAACTGTATAAAAGGATTGATTTCAACATTTGGATTAATGCCATAGTCCCTTGAGGAGATGCCAAACTTCAAACAAACAAGGGTTTTCTGTACAAGAACAGTATGTTTGTGTGTGTGTGTGTGTGTGTGTGTAGGGGTACATAATGTAAAAAGAAATAAGATTGTGGAGGCTTTGGAGGAAAAACTTGCAGCATTCACAAGGACAGATTTAAAGGGAATAGTGCCTTTAAAGTTGAGGAATGTAAAAACAGCATTTGTTTTTAATCCACTCAGTGAGTTTGAATGTCTTTTTTTTTTTTAAATATACTTTATTTTGCAGAAATTACAGTTTAGGGAAAGGGTCAATAACTTAGGAGGCTACTAAAAGTCAGACTCCCAAACCTTTCATCATTTCTAAGCAGAGCTCCAAGACTTGAAAATATTTTTTAAAAGAGACCGGAATGATGTGCCCTTTCCGACAGTTTCTGTTTCATGTCTAAGTTGCTTATACTGAACCCATTAATGTTTGGTTCTCCTTCTGTTTACAAAAAGTTTTTAACCCACTGTACAGACATTGTCCTGTATCCTCATTTGGAAATATTTGGCCTCATTTGGCCTGTAATGTGAAATCTGAAGTATTTCCCATTCTAATTAAACACAATTTCCTGAAAAGGTACAAAATAATACAATATGCATTACCTTTACAGGTAGTCCTTATTTAAAGACACAATTGTGACTGGCAGGTCTGTTGTTAAATGAGACCCAATGTGACCACAATTTGCATTTTTTCTGCTGATTTCTCCATTGACTACTTGTTAGAATAGCAAGAGCAACAGCACTTATATATTGCCCCATAGTGCTTTACACAGCATTCTCTGGGTGGTTTACAATGTCAGCATATTGCCCTGAACAATCTGGGTCCTCATTTTACCAACCTCGGAAGGATGGAAGGCTGAATCAACCTTGAGCCCTGACAGGATCGAACTCCAGGCAGTATGCAAAGTTTGTCTGGCCATCATTAAGTGAGGACTACCTGCAATCATACTATTGAAATCCCCCTTACTAGCTTAGTAATTTTATGAAGACAGGGTACAAATGAATTAAAATAAATTAATATTGATTAGTCAAAGTCTTCTGGTTGATGCGTGTCTAAATCCTGAGCTGGAAAGTGAAAATAATGCAGTTGTGGTTTTGCATTACTATTGTTAATTGGTTTTTTTTGCCTGAGTGCCCTTAGAGTTTTTATATTGTTTCGATGCTGTTTATCTGTTTTCAGACACCTATTGTGGCAGACCTGCAAATCAAAACTAATTTGTTAATTAATCCTTTTGCACATTACCAAAGTGCTCTGCCTCCTTGAAACCAGCTGTGGTTGTTGCTCAATAAATGTTTAATATGTTAATCTATTGATCCATCACCCTCCCTAAGTCTTCTTTCCCTAACCTGGAGCTTTTAAACTATGTTGGGACTGCATTTCCTCTGGTGGCTGGGGGTGATGGTTGGAAATTACAAGGAGGATGCCTTTAAATGTGGGGAAGATGGCCTTTAATAAAATGAACAGGAGAGAATACTCGGTTTTAAATTCCTCGCTTCTTTCCTCATTACAGATAGACTAATACCTTCCAGTCCAAGATGGCAGACAGCGATAAAAATGGAAGCAGCCGTTCTAGCACCAGCAACAGTCGACTTCAGAGCAAGAAGCCCCCCAACCTGTCTATAATGATCCCACCAGTGAAGACAGAAGAGGAAAGCAGCCAAACAGTGGTATGAATTATTGAGATCCATAAATGTCTGTTAACTGTGAGATTTCCACTGTTACGTGCATTCTAGAGAGGTGTCTCTTATAATAGTGCATTACAGTAATGCAAAAAAAAAAATGCTTCAAAATCAAAAATGTGAACCAGGCTATTTCAGGCACAAAGCAGTGTTTTGTACTTTAAAGCCAGTTGCTCTAAGTTAAAACACTTCCCAAATGCTCTTAAGCAATCTGATGTTAGCAGTTGTTTTGAGTCTCAAAGAACTGGCTTTCACCTCCCATATGGGAATGATCACCACTATCATAGACTAGTGTTAACACTTTGACACTTAGAAAGGAGTGGGACCACTGAAATTCAGTGCTCCTGACTCTCAACTTTGGTGCAGAAGGATACAATGCTCCATAGCTTCAAACATTGCTGAAAGATGTAATAGGAAAACAGATCTAATAGGAAAACATCCATTCTAGACAATCTGCTTCAGTCAGGGACTTTTGTGTTTATCACTTTCTGGAGAATCTTCCCTGAAAGGGGAAGGTGAGAGACTAGATGTAAATTGTCTAATAAGAGTCTATCAAGCATTCACTTCTTCTGGCTGCAGTATTCAAACATGCAAATATGCTGCGGTGTTCTCTCCTTATAGGGCGGTTGTTAGAGGTTCAAGCTAAATTGGATCTCATTAATCAGAATTGTTATGTTTCAGTAAAGCATTCCTGAATCCAGACAATCTGTCTTTAGATGGACTGTCTTCCAAAAAGCCACCATAGTAATAATCTTTGTGATAATCAGCCAGTTAAATTACCTTAGCTTTTATCATATTGGCTTGTTATGGTCGCACCATTTAAAAGCATTATCTATTCTCCTGCATATACTGTATGTGAGTGCTCATTAGCTAATGACAAGGGAGAACGGATCATATAAGTGCAGGAAAATCTTTTGTAAGCTCCAGCCAGTTCTTTGGCATTCTACAGAAACTTTTTATGAATGTTGCACTTCCAGGAGGAGAAAATTTCATCCATCCCATCCCTTATTCCATTGCATTTTTTCCTTTTCTCTTTCACTGGTCCCTAAGTTATAAACTGCTCAGAGGTAATATGATCTATGTACCATTTTACCCTCACACAGATATCTATGCCTGACTAACTAGCTTGCCCAGCTTATCTAGCCATGAACTAGAGAAAGGGCCTGATCCCTCACTGATCAGAAAGTATGATTTCTTGAGAATTTATAATTTATGTGAATAGTTGAGTGGTCTTTGGATCAAACCTCCCTCCCCATCTTTCTTGCTGATGACCTCAATGTCTCTTTTTAGCTTCTGAAAAAAAACCCAGCTCTTCAAAAGAGTGTGAGCCTCCAAGAGTCGAGATTGAAAAGACAGGACAGCAACTTTGAAAGACATCCCGCCTTGCATAGGCAAACCTCATTGTCCCAGAGTATTCGCAAGTAAGGAGAACTTTTATCCTATCACATTAGTTTATTGTTATTTATTTGACTTATTTCTTCCATTTATTCAGCTGCCCATCTCATAACAATGACTTTGGGCAGCTCATAACATTTAAAAGCAAAGCAATAGCGTAATATGAAACATTAATGACAGCTAAGGATAATTTGTGACTCTGTGAGTGTTTGATTTTTGTGCTTGTTGGACTGTTAGTAATATTTGAAACCCACTTTCTGGTCCTTGTAGGTGGACTTAGACTTACTGAATTTATTTGTACACGTAACACTTTTTCCTCTTGAGAATGTATAGGCTCCCAGTTTAACTGAATGGCATTATATTTTCAGTAAGTGCTTTAAATATTAGCCATGGCTTGAACCTGGGTTTGCTCAAAACTGAGAGCTGTGTCAAACAAGGGGAAAGAAGGCAGATACATATCAACTATTTATTGTGACCTATTTTAAATTACAGGTAGACCTCGACTTGCATCCACAATTGGGATTTTGGTTGTTAATCAGTGTGGTCATTAAGTGACTTATTACACGATAGGGCCTAATTGTACGACAATTTTACCATAAATTAAATTCATCATGGTAGTTAAGCAAATTACATAGTCCTTATGTGTATCTTGTGGCCATTAAGTGAATCTGGCATCCCCAGTTGACTTTGCCTGTAGGAAGCTGGCTGAGAAGTTCACAAGTTGTGATCACATGACTGCAATGTGCTGCCACCGCTGTAAATGCAAGTTGGTTGCCAAGTTGTCCAAACTTCAAGGACAGGTTGTAAGTCACTTTTGGTGGTATCTTTGAACCGTCCTTAAACAAATGGTTGTAAGTCAAGGACCACCTGTATGTGAGATAGTTGGGTTATTGTTCCCTCTCCATCTCAGCTACTAAGCATGGCTACGGCTTTTCGTAGAACAGAGACAGAATAATTCCCAGATGCTGTAAAGGAAAACAGATGGAAGAAAACTTATTCATAAAAAGTGACTCAGCCCCACCATAAAATCACTGTGTCTTATTTATACCACAGGGTAGATTCTGGTTATTTTTCCTTAAACATATTTTGAGGATTTGATGAAAACACTGAATATTTCTATCCACGATACTTCATGTTTACTCTGTCAGTTTTAAAAGTGTCCCCTACAACAACCCCACCCCCTCCCATCTGTGAAAACACATCCATTGATCAGCCATTCCTGGAAGCAAAGCTAGATAAATGTTCAGGCCTGGATGGAGTAGTTACTTTCTTAAAATTTTGAAGTTACTTGTGAAGCCATGGATGTCCTATTTGTCTCCTCTCCTCCTGCACTCAGAGGAGCAGCTCAGTGGTTTGGCGTCAGCAATGACTGGGATGGAAAGCAACAGAATTGGCAGCGCAAGAGCCTTCAGCACTGCAGCCTGCGCTATGGAAAACTCAAACCTGCCTACAGGGAAATAGAAGTGAGCAGCCAGGAAGTGCCTTCTTTCCAAGGCACAGAATCCCCAAAGCCAACAAAAATGCCCAAGGTAGGTGTCATTGCACAAGAGAGTTGGTAACACAGAGATACTGTTATGCTGTGGAGAAGATTTGACTGTGGAGAAGAAATTATAATCCCTCTTGGATGTACAGCCTGAGGAAAAAGGGGTCACCAGAAAGTCAGAACTTCATCTTTTGAAGGTGTCCAAGTTCAGCTTTCACTTTGCCAAGTGAAAAAGTCTGGTGTCAGGGAATAACAAACTCCACTTCAGGGTCTGGGAAGCCACAGTCAGCCAGAGGAAATCCTACTGGATTAGCTGAGGTGAAGAACAAAATGGCACCCCTCTATGCACACAAGTCATCTAGCTGTCCAGGAGGCCAGCTTATGGCTGTGAAGGAAATTACCTGGCATTGTCCCATCTCATTTGCCATTGAGGTGATGGCCTCCTTCTGCTTAATGAAAGAATTGATCTTAATTCTCCCTTCCTGTAAGGAAACTTAAAGGGGCGATGGGCGGCCACAGTCTCAGAGAGGAATATCATCTGTTTAAAAGGACTCAGTATGAAATGATGGGGGAAATCATGACTGAAAGGGATCCGGGAGATGTTGGTCAGAGGAAATCCTATGAGGGGAAGTGAATTAAGCATTTATCTAAAGCACCATCCTATGGTTGATACAATTTCAATTTAAATCAACATGCCTGTTCCATTTCAACACTGAGTACGAGACTAATTGCTTCAATTGTTTTATCCTTTCAGATTGTAGATCCTTTGGCCCGAGGCCGTCCCTTCAGGCACCCAGATGAAGTGGATCGTCCACGTACTCCACATCCTGTCCTTCCCCCTCTGACTCCTGGAGTTGTGTCCTTGGCATCATTAGGTAGTGTACGGTCAGGCTACACCCGCCTTCCCCGCAGGAAAAGGAAATCGGTGGCCCATATGAGCTTTAAGGCAGCTGCAGCAATTATCAGAGTGAGTTCTACTTTTGTGGTAAAGCTCTGAGCTTCAATTCCTTATTTCTTTATATAATGGTGTCTAGGATATTGTATATGATATGTGGTATGTGCTGCTTCCTTATCTTTCTGTTCAGCAACAGTACCACCAGAACTCCGGAGAGGAAAAAAAGTTGTGGATCTATAGGATTTCAGTTCAAATCTGAATTGGAAAATGAATTAAATCTCAGTTTGCAATTACTTCTCCAAGTAGTTTATCTATTTCTGAGACGGTCATATGTGTCGACAGTTATATTGGATGGGAGGGCATTTATGTTTTTTGCAGGATTCTCCTACTTCACAGTTCCTGGGGATGATTTTTCTTTAAATCTTTAAATTAAATCCTAATTTCAGCGAGATTGAATCCTAACTTCAGCAAGATTGGAGAATCAGTTACTTTACTTTTGAAAAAGTTATATGTTATATTTTGTTGTGCTGTTACTTCTAAGTTTGTATTTGAATTCTGGAATTCAGTGAATTCGTGAAAATATAATTGCCTTGACAGACTTTGATGATTTCATATTCCAAGCTTCCTAAAGCTGAGGGTTATGAAGTAAGTTGTCCTGAGAAAGGTCACGATCAAAAGGAAACTGTTTGATGGGAACACAAATATTACCCTTATAAGACTGGAAACCTAAATAGGTGCACAATAGAAGTAAAAGCATATTCTCAATTCAGAACATCTGAATAGAGGTATCACCAGAGGGAGCTGTTGTCTGGCACAGAAAAAGAATGGAAAAGTAGATTTAGCGACATTTGACTGGAAGGTTGATGCTATGTAAAACCATCCACTTCATAATTGGAGCCAGTGTTAATATTTGCAGACCGTGCTGCAAAACAGATTTACTGAAATAAACCTGTAGCTATCTTGGCTTAAACTATATCTCAAACCTGGTTAGCTATAGCTTCGGAGTCTTTAATCATGTGCCAAGCCCTGTGTCTTCCTCTTAGCAGGCATCTTCCCTTTTGGAAGGCAACTTCAGGGCTGATCATATCTCCGTAACTCCAGGTGGAGTTGAAGCTGCTGATAATAGACTGAATCATTCATAGTGAGTGTTTTGAACCCGACCATTCACCATTCCAATTTGTTTCTTACAACAGGGGCGTTCCGTTCTGGATCCATCAGTGCAAAAACGCAGGGGCAACAAACGGAGCTTTATGTATCCTAGCTTCATGGACGATGATGTGGTGGATGGCATGGATACATTTGACTCTTCCTTCTTCAGTAAGGCAAGCATGGTTCCACGGCCTTCCTGTTACATTCTCTGCTCTGACAGCTCAGTTTCGCTTCTTCCACGCTGGCTGAGGAATTCTGGGAGTTGAAGTCCACAAGTCATAAAAGGGCCAAGTTTGAAGACCCCTGTTCTTAAGTCTTTGATGCCGCGTTGTAGCCACCTCGATCTTTGCAGCCCAGATCTAGTAATTTTACTATTGCTTATAAATAAACGTTTTAAGGTGGATATGCTAGCCTGATTGTTAAACTTCACCCATTCATGAGAATACAGCCCCAAGGGCTGCTCTTCTAGAAGAGGATTGGGATCTTTTTCAGAGATTCCTTTTTTTTCATGCAAGAAATAAATAGGTTGAATACCCAGCAGCCCCACATGTAAATAATATCATTCCTGAGGCTAGGCAAAAAGATTAATAGGATCAATTACATTTCAAAATAAAATAAAACGTAGGCTCTGTTAATTAAACCATATCAAACTTAGCTACATAAACTTTTAGGAGCTTGAATATTTTATTATTATTAAAACATTCCTTGCTGTAAGATATGGCCTTTTCACCATCAGTTTAAAGAAAGCGAAACAGTTCACCAACAGCATTCTTCTAGCTAAGCTTCCAAGGTGGGCGATTTAAACTGAGCCGTGCTTGCCTTGAATTCCTGTTGTTGCCTACTATATTCTGTTTTGACTTGTACTGTACCTGTAGCATTAGGACAAGCCACAAGGAAAACAGCTGGAATATAAATATTTGGGTTGTTTTTAATCTAGGCATGCCTGGACATGTCCTTTGCCCAGAGGAATTATTAGCAAATGGGGAGGGGAGATAGATCCATCACATCCTGCCACTAGCATTGTTCCACTTTTAAAAAATGGTCACAAAGTGGTGTTTCTGGGGTTTCTATCCGGCAGGGGCTCTCACTGTGTGAAGGTAAGGCTCCTTCAACACATTTTACCTGGCCTCATTCCTATAATTGCACTCTCTCTATTTTGAAGCGTTATTTGTTTGGCAAAGGCACTGTTGATGTGTAATTTTTCTTTTTCTTTTGCTCAGAAAATATTACAAGGGTCCACTGTGCTACTGTCTGATTGATTTCCTTATGTTCCTTTTATATTGCACTATTCACGCAGCTTGCTCAGCTTTGCTAAAGCTGACATGTGAACACGCACAATCACATCTGCTGGTTCTTCTTGTAAATGAGCATGGCTAGCAAATTATGGGCAGTGCAACAGAGAGTGAGCCAGAGATCCTGGATCAGACAAAATGCTAAATGTTGAGTTCACAGCCTGTAAGTTGTGGATTGCATGTGAATCTTGTGAACTATATATAAGTGGGGCAAAGAGGAAGACTGGGTGTGAATGAAAGAAGATGCTTACACATCCATGGTATAAAATATATTTTGCTTAATTTCCCCCGCTCACCACCACCATCACCACTTTTTCCCATAAATTAATTCTTCTCACATTCCTGCCTTCCCTTCCGTTTTATTCCATTTGAAAATAATGAATTTGAATTTTAACTTACACTTTCAGAAACCAGGTGTCTAAAGATCAGTGTTTCTCAATCTTGACAACTTTAAGATGTAATCATTCCCAGAATTCCCCAACCAGCCACAGCTATAGATTGTCAATGAAGCTTACCCTGGGAATAGCTAGCGAGTGCAGTTTGCTTATTGGTAGCTGAGCTATATTATGGCTTGATCTGATTAGCAGAGCACTGTTTGTACGTTTAGATGCAAAATAAATTGTCTTCAAATGTCCTATGTTAAACTCCTTTTTTGATGATGTGGATTTTCTGTATTTTATTTAATTATAAACTAAACCTGCCATTAAAAAAACAGTGCTCACCGTTCTACTTTATTGGCATCTATGGCCAGCCTTTGGTTCTAATGATTCCTTCCTTCCTTCCTTCCTTCCTTCCTTCCTTCCTTCCTTCCTTCCTTCCTTCCTTCCTTCCTTCCTTCCTTCCTTCCTTCCTTCTCTTATCATATATGTATCTAATTCCTGATTTTTGAGCTAAATAACTCTCCTGATATAGCTGGACCAGCAGTCAAAGACTTCCTTGCATGATTCCTGGGTTGTATGATTAAAGTCCATCTGTCTGGAAATTCTGGCAGCTGCAGCCTCAACATATCTGAGGGATGCTGAGTTAGGGGCATTTATAAAGAAATGCAATATATATTCATATATAAAACAAGATATCGGGCAGATTCATAACCCCTTAGCCCCATTTGCTGCTTTTTCTATAAGATGTTATGAAGGTGTGTATGAGTAGATATATAGATAAAAATGACGTTTGCCGGAACGACTGGATCCCTCACTAAACAAGATCTACAATTCTCATTTTAAATGAGGCCACGAGTAATAATTCCCCTTTCTTAACAGGTTGACGCACATGAGGAGATGTGCTCCATGCAAGATGATGTATTTGAATCCCCACCGCTCTCTGCTACTTACTACCGTGGGCTTCCCTTACAAGAAGATAGCAAGTCACCAGAAGTTGACCAACCTTTCCAGTGAGTCTTGGAGACCCATTTGGACTGATACAACAGAGACTTAGCCTCCTGTTCATAGGAAGTGTACTCTGATTTATGTCACCAAATGTGAGCTATTGTTGCCACAGTCACCTGGAAACAAAGCTTTCCTACTTTAGAGGTGATGCGTAGCTACTGAGAAAAAACTCTTTTCCGCTATGGCATTCTTGTTTTGGATTCTTCTTTCCAAAAATGCTACTTTGTCGCAGGAAGACTTTTAAAATAATCCTAAAATGAAGTGTTTCCATTTTGTCTGCCAATGAACTATAAACTGCTCATAGTTTTTGCTGCTTTGGGACTGGATTTTAGATACATGTCTTGCACTTGTAAGATTTTTTATGCAGTACATCATCCTGACAAGTATTTGAAGGATGGAGATGACATTTCTATTATGAATATAAATATTACTTTCCCCGAAAAGACAATTTTAAATAGCTTTCCAGTAATCGGCTATCAATATATCTTTGCTCAGAAAGTGAAAGCTTCGGAACATGGGATTGGATGCAAGACAGGGCATAGAGAGGATGTGAAGTAGGGAAATAGCCTTTTGAAACAAGATTGGCCACTTGAATTGCTTGTTTAAAATATTGAAGACATTTGCATCTAAGAGTTGTAGAGAAAGTGACAGATACAAAGAGGAAAAGATTAATGCAAACATAGAGGAGATATGAAAGATTATATTAAAAATTCAGATGAATAACTCTGATGCACTGAAGAATCAAACGAGACACTTGAATGTAATAGAATCTTGGTCGTCTTATCATTTCCCAGAACGAATTATCTGCTTGAGATTGAACTTAACTCAATCAACTGCTCCTATTGATCTTCTTATCTTTTTCTGCATAAAGTAGTCACTGTAAAAGAAAATGTACTGGGGTGGGGGCAGCCAAAAAAGAGAACCAGTTACAGGTAGTCCTCGACTTACAGCCATAATGGAGCCCAGAATTTAGGTTAGTAAGTGAGAAATTGGTTAAGTGAGTTTTGCCCCATTTTACGACTTTTCTTGCCACATTTGTTAAGTGAACCACTGCCGTTGTTAAGTTAGTAACCTGGTTGTTAAGTGAATCTGGCTTCCCCTTTGACTTTGCTTATTAGAAGGTCGCAAAAGGTGATCACCTGACCCCAGGACACGGCAACCGTCATAAATATGAACCTATTGTCAAGCATCTGAGTGTAAATCACATGACCATGGGGATGCGGCAACAGTCATAAGCATGAAAAATGGTCATAAGTCCCTTTTTTCAGTGCCGTTGTAACTTCGAACAGTTGCTAAACGATCTATTGTAAATTGAGGGCTACCTGTATTGTTGCATTGTATTGGGCTCATAATACTTCAAAGGCAGACATTTACTGAGATCAAGTAACATTTGCAGAACACAATTAATTCTTAGCATCCTGGAATAATTCTACATGTATCTCTGCAGTCAAACTCATGCTGAGTTTTCAAATATGTCCTTTCTTGTTCTGCAGGCATGTAGGAGCTGTTGCCCTCAAAAGCCTCCAACAAAAAGCTTCTGCTCCTAAGAGGGGCACTCGGATTGCTTCCAGGGTGAAGCACTTTGCCTTTGACCGCAAGAAGCGCTACTATGGGCTGGGAGTGGTGGGCAACTGGCTGAACAGAACGTATCGTCGGAGCATCAGCAGTGTGGTACGGTCACAGCTGGAGATCACAGACAGCCACAGGTAGCAGTAGACCACCAAAATTCCAGGATGACTGTGAATCGGTCATTTTAGTCAGACTAGAGCCGCAAGGGATCTTGGAGATCTTCTAGTCCAACCTCCTGCTCAAGCAGGAGACCCTAGACCGTTTCAGTCCAGTCTTTCCTTAAAAACCTCCAGTGATGAAACACCTACAACTTCTGAAGGCAAGCTGTTCCATTGGTTAATTGTCCTCAGTGTTAGGAAGTTTCCCCTTAATTCCAGGTTGCTTCTCTCCCTGATTAGTTTCCATCCATTTGTTTCTCGTCTTGCTTTCTGGTGCTTTGAACAATAAGTCGACCCCCTCCTCTTTGTGGCAACCTCTCAAATACTAGAATACTGCTATCATGTCACCCCTAGGCCTTCTTTTCTCTAGACCAGTGATGGCAAACCTATGGCACCCGTGCCAGAGGGGGCACTCAGAACCCTCTCTGTGGGTACGTGCACCGTCGCCCCAGCCCCCCTCTCCCCGTGGCCCCCTCCTCACCAGCAGCCTCCCCCAGAGGAGAGTTGCCCCCCGGCACGGCCCACACCGAGCAGCACAGCCAAAGACATGGCAGTCGGGCAGCGGGGACGGATTCCACCCTTGCGCCCCATCATATGCCAATGATGCTGCAGGGCACGGGCAGAGGGCATGGCTGCCATGGCGCTGCTGTGATGCCTGGTCGATATGCGGTGGGCCATGGAGGTGGTGGGTGGCCCTGCGGGTGGGTGGGGTGGGGGCAGGGCAGGCTAGAGCAGGGTGGCGGGGCGGGGCAGTTTTTGGGCACTCGGTCTCTAAAAGGTTCGCCATCACTGCTCTAGACCAACCAAACCCAATTCTTGCAACCGTTCTTCATATGTTTTTATTTCCAGGCCCTTAATCATCTTAGTTGTTCTTCTTTGCACTTTTCCCCCAAAGTCTCAACATCTTTTTTGTAATGTGATGACCAAAACTGGATGCAGTATTCCATATGTGGTCTTACTAAGGATTTATAAAGCAATACTAATACTTTATGTGATTTTCATTCTATGCCTCTGTTTATATAACCAAGGATTGTATTAGCTTTTTTGACTGGTGCCACACGCTGCTGGCTCATGTTTAAGTGATCATCCAGTAGAACTCCAAGGTCCCTCTCACAGTTACTGTTTTTGAGCCAGGTTTCGCCTAATCTGTACTTGTACCTTTAGTTCTTCCTGCCTAGATGTAGAACCTTACTTTTCTCCACATTAAAGTTCATGTTGTCAGATAGGGCTCATTGTTCATGTTTGTCAAAATCTTTTTGGATCCTAAGCTTGTCTTTTGGGGTATTGGACTGCTAGGGGGCTGAAATTTTAAATGCCTCTTTGAACTCAGAGAATGATAAAAATGCAACCAATAAGTAATTAAGTAACTCCAAAGTGTATTCACCCCACAGCAGAAATAAACGACCTATTTGTAGGTGGGCAAGGAGTATATGGAAAGCAGCAATGGTTCCAAAATTAGAGAAGGGGATATTTTGTCTGCAGAAGTTATCTGCCACTTTGTGTTATTTTCCATGTTGTGTCCTGGATGCTGCATATTCATTGTCTTTTGTGGATAAGATACTTACTGAATTAGCCATGCTTTCTAAATATTTAAGTGTAGTCTCTTTTTTAACAAAGAACTTCAGACTGAAATGTATCTACAGAATCTCTTCTGGTTTTTGACACTTTCCTCCACCCTTTCTTCTTTGTCTGAAACAGGCCTTACTTTACGTACTGGATCACGTTTGTTCACATCATCATCACTCTACTTATCATTTGCACTTACGGATTTGCTCCAATCGGCTTTGCTCAGCATGTGAAAGCAGAATTAGTGAGTCTAATTATATTTCAGTACTGCTTACTTTGTGATTTCCGTGAAATATGAAAACATGAACATCTTTTCTACCCCACCTTTTAAAAACCTCTGGGTGGCCAGCTGCAATTAAAAAGATGCATTTGTATACAGTTAGTGCTCTTTTAGCGATTGCCTCATTTAACGAAAATTCCCAATTACAACAGTGATGAAAAAGTTACTTTGACGTCACATATATGACCTTTGTAGGTCAGTAAAGCAAAGGAAAGCTAACATAAAATCATAAGCACAGTTACAGTTTCACTTAGTGACCACATTGCATAACAACTGAGTTGCTGCTCCCAATTGTGCTCCCTAAAGAAGGGCTACCTATACAAACCAAACTATTTTTAAAAAAAGGCCCTACATACAGTGTATAACAATTAGAGATTAATTACAAATGAAGATTTTTGAAGTAAATTGCAACCTTTCTCCAAATGCTCAATAAAGCAACATAGTTCTTAACTAATCTTTTAAGAATTAAAAAAATAATTTACTGAACTAATCATGCACTGCTCTTCGTATCAGCCAGACAACGGACTGCCACCCAGTCAGTTCAGACAATGCTGACACTGAGAGCCGGACTCTCTGCCTGCTGATCTAAACCAGCCCTTCTTAATCAGTTGCCCTGCAGATACGTTGGAACTATTATTCTTAGAATTCTCAGTCAGAATGGCCAATAGCTGGGTCAGCTGGGAATTCTAGCCCCCTTGGATCTGGAGGGCCCCTAAGGAGACACTCTGGGTTTAAACTCTTGAGTTTTGAAAGTTCAAAACAACAGGTCAGACTGGACCTGGAAAGTAACTCCTTCTCAATGTAGATCTTATCAGCTATTTTCCATGTATCTAGCAGACCCAAACAAACATGCTATAACACACAGTGGTAACTAGAAGTTCCAGAAAATCTTCAGAGTCTTCAGGTGTCCTCAACCCCTGATCCGCAGACCGGCACTAGTCCGTGGCCGAGCAGGAACCAATCGAACAATTGAACAAAGCCCCATTCGCACACGTGTGGGATCCAGGCAGCACATGGTCCATGAAAAAACTGCCCTCTATGGAACCGGTCCCTGGCACCCAAAAGGTTGGGGGCCACTGCTCTAATAGATAATATTCTGGGTTGAATGAATGACAATAATTGGCTCAGTGCCCAAACCTAAAATCTGTAGCCAGAGAAACCAAGATTTGCATTCTTTTCTTTTAGCAATATAAATAAGGCAATAATTGTGCTAAGATTCTTCGATGCAATCTACCCAGAAAAAAAATGCAAAGCTATAGATTCAAATGCAGATTAGCAAAAAAAATGATTTGAAATAATTTCCCTTGAATAAGTCTTCTTCAGTTTGCTATGAAACCATATCTTTTTGTGAAAGGTTTTGAAAATGTGATGCACCCAGAAAGCAACTCCTACTGAAATCTATTGTATGTTGTTATGGGGGAAAGACCCCCATCTAATCTGTGCCTTGAGATACTTATTATTTCTCTTCATCATAATTTTGCAGATATTACGAAACAAAGGCGTGTATGAAAGTGTGAAATATATCCAACAGGAGAACTTCTGGATTGGTCCAAGTTCGGTAAAGGCTGTCCTTCCTTTTTTTCATTGCTTTCTTCTAAAAGGAAATTTCTGCCATGTGCTACTCCAAATGACTCATTGCATAAGAAGTCTGTAACTTCCTGGTCTGACTTGATTGTAACCAACGAGAGCAGAGATAGAGACCTATCACTCTTCAGATGTTGCTAAACTACAATTAAGAAGATTCTCTTCTCAGCAATCAAGCTGTAGTTCAGTAACTGGTCATCAGATTTTATAGTGTGATTTTGCAGGCTTTGCAGATTCAAAAAAACGGATGGGAGCTGCATGGTGCTTACAGGTTGCCCATTTTTCCTATTGGAGACATGTGTATTATATGATCACCAGCTACAATACATGAAAAGTAGACTGCTCCCCATCAGTGGGTGTGTTCTCCATCTTGGCATCAGATGCTCCATTTCTCTCATATATTTTTCAACCTTAACTGAGGATATGTGCCAAGAAAAGAAATATTTAGGTGCCCACTGAGAATTTTAACTACTCCATGAAATTCTCAAGAGGAAGAGAGCATGTTTTACACTTATATATAAGAGTTGTAAGGAAGGGGACACATGCACATTTTCTGGAATGCACAACACATATTTCTACTTAATCCAATCTTTTCATGAAACTCAGAAGAGGAAGAAACTATAGGTGGCACTTTTATGTTTATTACTGTTATGGAACATGCATAGCAATCCATCTACCTTCCATAACAGTAACAAAAAGGAAAATGAAGCTTAGCACTTTCAGTCATCTCAGTATGCATGGCTTTTTCTAAAGTCCTCCACCACTCATTGGGATGTGGGAAGACGTTACATGGCAAAATCCTTGTTCCTTGAGTGCTTTTCACACTATCGCTTTCTATTTCAGATTGATTTGATCCATCTGGGAGCCAAGTTCTCCCCCTGTATCCGGAAGGACCAACAGATTGAGAAGCTGGTCCAGAAAGAGAGGGAGAAAGAGCATCACTCTGGCTGCTGTGTCCAGAATGATAACTCTGGTTGTGTTCAGACTTTGCGTGAGGATTGCTCGGTAAGAGCACAATTCTGACCGCTGATAATGACCTCCTTCAGACTGGGGTTTGGAATGAGTTGGGACTGCATCTTCCAGAATTCCCAACCAGTAGGTTTCAAGTTGAAGAAAGCATCTATATGACTTTCATGAGCTTTGAGGATCATGATTTAATTCCGCCATTTTTTTCCTGTGAGGTCAGTGATCACTGTTTTCTGGAAATAAGGCAGAGGAAAAGCCGATGTACTAAAATGAACACTTAAATTTGATTGTAGCAATCTCCTTTCAAATATTGTTAACATTTCCATAATTCTCAATTTTTATGAGCTACACCTGGTCATGTAATTAATATAATTAGTGTAAATTTGAGTAATAATTGAAAGCCCCCTCCACGTTTTCTTTGTCTTTTTTCTTACTCTTTATTTTTCTTCTACTGAATACTTTGTTAAAGGGTAGTTACTTAAATAACATCCCCAGTGATGATGATCATGGTCATAAGGGAGATCACCTATGTGGGAGAAAAGTATACGAGCAGACTTCTGATGGGATTTTTATTCCTTTAAAAATCTGAATGTGTATTACAGAAATATTACTTGTGGATGCTGTGATACATAGTTTACAAACTCATTTTTTTCCTCTATAGGAAACATTGGCCACATTCGTAAAGTGGCCAGACTATAATCCACCAGCTGTTGACCCCACCAATTCAAGTTGGAGTAGGCTATCAGGAGCAGTTTGTTCTCAGGATCCCAGGTGAGACATATATCTTCACCTCAGCAAAGGTCTTGTGCATTATGAATAAGATGAGAGGGGGAAGCATGGAATGTAAGATGTTAAGGGCATTTCTAACTCTTCACTGCTGTTTGTCTTCCAACAGGACCTGTGAGGAGCCAGCTTCAAATCCACCTCATCTCTGGCCAGATGACATCACCAAGTGGCCAGTAAAGATCCTTCCTTCCTTCCTTCCTCCCTCCCTCCCTTTAAAAGAACTGAGTCTCACTGAGATTAATGGGGCTTAAATAAGTCATCACTGTTAATTGTCTCACTAATTTCTGTGTTGGCTGAGAATGATTTTATGTGGGGGTAATAAAGGAGGAAGCAGTTTGAGCTGCTTGTTTGCCTGGTTACCTGGTGCAGCACAGTTTGCTTCATAGAAGAATCTGCCTAATGAGAGAAGGAACTGTGATTTCCTGCATGCATGCATGCATGGTTTTTTTCCTAAGTAATACCCATTTATCAAATTCAAACAGGGTGGATTTTTGTACTTTTTGTACTTCTTACATTGAGTGAAAAGCTGAATTGTAGCAAAAGAGTTTCTAGAACCACGGAAACTAGGAAAAAATGAAAGGAAAGTATGTAGAAGTAACATTGCATTGTAGGAACTGTGAAGACCCTGGTGCTATCTGAGCTTGGCTCTTTGCTTTAGATGTTTCATTACCCAACTAGATAACATCATCAGTGCTAGTGAGTGTCTAGTGTTAATCCCTGCTTATATGGATGTTGCCAACAATCAAGCAGCAAACAAGAAAATATTGAGAAGAAAACTATATCCCCCACTCAAACTGGCAGGACAAGCTGCTGAACATAAACACGGAGCAAACTTTACACTTACTAGCTGTCAGCCCTCCCAGGTAAATCAGACAGAAAAACACAAGTAGAATAACCAATTCTACTTAATTGTAAGAATCTTGCAAGTCTGAAAGTACAAACTTCCCATTTCCTAGGTAGCATCTCTTCCCTTCATTCTCCAAATCATCCTCATATTCCTTGGATGATGTTACATAGTCAGGTAGCATGAGCATGGCTGGCTCAGGAATTCTGGGAGTTGAAGTCCACGAGTCATAAAAGAACCAAGGTTGCCTACCCCTGCCCTAGTCCACTTTTCCATGCAAACAAGTCAGTAGGAATCTTTGTTTTCTGAGTACATTTCAACAAAATGTACAAACTGTTTTAACTATTTGTCTGCTATCTTGGGATGTTGTCTTTATGGTGGTGTTCTTATTTTTCCATAGCCTAAAATATAACTCTATACTATAGTCAGCTATGCAAAATTAAAATGGCATTGGGTGTACTTCCCCCATCCCTTTTTCGCTTTAATTGTGAACTTCTTTTATTTACAGATATGTACTGATCAGGTCAAAAGTAACCACACTGGTTTCTTGCATATGGACTGTGATATTAAAGGAAGGCCATGCTGCATTGGAACCAAAGGCAGGTAAATGCTTGTGAATTGGGGAGTATCTAAGTGTTGTTTTTAGCAACCATGAAACTGTTTTTGTTCCATTTGGGGATCAATGTTAAAGCCTGCCCATATAGAAAGTTTCACATAATTCCCTCAGCAATGCTATTGAGGTAAAGTGTATTTGATTAGCATGCATATTTAAAATGAAAAAAACATAGCTTAGTATTGTTCAAGTTTTGTTGTTCAGATCTGCTGTTTAATGCAGCATTTGAGTCTGTTACTATTATTTTAGAATACAGACCATATTACTCTTTAGAAACACTGAAATCATTGAGACAATTAGTCACCAAGCTATTTTAAGCCCCATGAATTTCAGTCAGACTTTGTTATGTCTAATTCAATCTCTAAACTCTCACAAAAGGTTCCTTATTTAGCAGCATTTCATCTAACAGAGTTCGCTCTATGTGATCTTAATGCATCTGATTAAGAGAGTTCATGCCCTAATAAAATTTGTTACTTTAAAATGCTTAGAGACATTCTAGAGCAGAACTGATCTGAAGGCAATTAAGAAGTTATCTGAGAATTCAGTTGGATGCATTAAAATAAAGTCATCTTGAATGAAGTATAATTTAGGCTTAATTTGCATAAGGTGAGAACAAATAATGCTGTTTTCCTAGACTTGGCCAAGATGCTTAAAGTGGGTTATGAGTTTTGTTTTTGTTGTCATATTTAGAAATGTACTTGAAAGATATCATAGCTATGTTTACATAACATAGTATTCTTTGAATATGATGATGGAACAGTCTTTGCTAAATAGATGAAGGAATCTACAGCCCTTCAGATGTTGCACTCAAATCTCATCAGGCTTTAACAGTGTGGACAATGGCTGTTTTGTGATCATTAACACAAATCTTGATTGTGCAAGACAGGAGCTTTGTCAGGCCCAAAACCAAGAATGACACATGGTGATTCTTCCAAGCAGTGTTCTTTATTGTTTCACACTTAGACAAAATCTTGCCAGACTGAGCACTCCAATATCTGTATTTACTCTCTGTGGACTATTAGGGAGGGACTGTCTTCATCCTCTTTCTCTCACGCATAACATTTGGATTGAGTCCCAAAGATGCTTTTTTCAGGAGGCAACGGGACTTTCTTGTGTTTCTTTTGAAGATGTTTCACTTCTCATCCAAGAAGCTTCTTCAGCTCTGACTAGATGGTGGAGAGTGGAAGGATATATATTGCTTTGCAGACCACAGGAACCATTTGTGCTTCAGTTTGAGATTCAGACAACAGAGACTCATCCCCAACAGCCAACTTGTCGACTTCAACGTGCCTGGCTGGGGAATTCTGGGAGTTGAAGTCCACAAGTCATAACAGGGCCAAGTTTGAAGAGCCCTGCTCTAAAGGAATCCAAAGCACCAGTGTCTGCAAGCAATATAAATCCTTCCACTCCCCACCATCTAGTCAGAGCTGAAGAAGCTTCTTAGATGAGAAGTGAAACATCTTCAAAAGAAACACAAGAAAGTCCAGTTGCCTCCTGAAAAAAGCACCTTTGGGACAACCATACATGGATGACTGAGAATCTCCATGGACATTTGGATTGAATAGCCTCTTGCTGATCTGGATTGCATCCTCTGCCTCCTGGGGATCCACTTCCTCACTACATTCCATCATATTTTAATGGAGAATTGAAAATTAGTAGCTAAATTATTATTGATCGTTGAGTTGTACAATGATTTGAAATTGAATTGTTCCAGGCTCAAGCATGAAACTTGTGCTCTGACCATCTTGGAAGCCTTTCAGGCTCAAATCAACCTTTTGAATCTTTGAAGCTAAAAGGACTTCCAAACTATCTAAAATTGGTGTTATAAGTTTGAACGAGTGTTTTGAATTCAAAACATTTTGCACATTGGTATTTTTAAATATGTACCCTGTTTTTTTTTAACTCGTATAAGCAACCAAAGTGGCTTACAAGAATGAAATTAAATACAAATATAAATTGCAATGGTAAAGATAGGGCAATTAAAATCCATACCACTGAAATCAAGATAAAAGAAGAGATGATGAATTAAACTGACTCTATCACTCTCTTTATATTAGCTGTGAGATCACAACTCGGGAGTACTGTGAGTTCATGCATGGCCACTTCCATGAAGAAGCAACTCTTTGTTCACAGGCAAGTAATGTCCTCAGGCAGCTTTCCTTATTTTTGACACTTTCAAGGGGAGTTGAACTTCAGATCCCAGCAGCTGGATCATTTAGTGGGAGTCCGATATGGGAAAGGCTATTCCCAAGATGTGTTGATGTCAAATGTTTGCCCTGTATTTGTAGAGTAAGGCTAGAAGAATATTATTTCTTGTTTGAAAAAGGGCTAAAGAGCTTCAGAGGAGGGACAGCATCAGAATCTGACCTCTTAAGTAGTTGCTAGGCCTAAGTCTCTCAGCAAGGTTCACAGATGCTGCCTTGGCTTTCTGTTAAATATCCATAAGCTAAGTAGTGCCAAACAGGTCAATGGAAGCTTTGAAAAAATGCCTTGGCACCACACTGCTAGAAACCATTGTGGTAAATTGAAAAGAGAGCTAGTATGCTCAGCAATAAATCTCAGGCATCGTTGAGTCCTACTGAGTCAAGAAGCAAGACCAGTGTTTTAATGCTGCTTATTACACCCCATTCCTCTAAAAGCTGGTGTGGTCTTCAATATTTCCTGCCACGAATTCTGGAAGATGTAGTCCATGACTGGCCAGCAGCAGGTTGGACAAGGGCTATCTACATACTTTAAAGTCTTTTCTTTCTTTCTGTTCCAGGTTCACTGCATGGGTGAAGTGTGTGGCCTCTTACCATTTCTTAACCCAGAAATTCCAGATCAGTTCTACAGGCTCTGGTTGTCTTTATTCCTTCATGCAGGGTAAGCAAAAAAAAGAGAGAGAGAGAGAGAGAGAGAGAGAGAGAGAGAGAGAGAGAGAGAGAGAGAGAGAGAGAGATTTGATGCTTTGATACTGCTTTTTGTGTTTTTGTTCTGTCTATACTTTTGCACTGGGAACCTCAGTATCTTATCTCTCATTATTTGTTCAGTTTTCCTTTGCCGCTTTTCTGATTTTCTGTCTGTAGTCGGGGAGAGGGATCAGAAAATGTTGTTGATCAGAGCCAAAAAGCTACAAATGAGGCCTACCTAACGGATTCAGGCCTGGTCTTTCCTGGCTTTGTCCTGCAAGCATTCATAAATTACTTCCAGACAGAAATTATTCAGCATCAGCAGTCAAGAAACACTGTGCAACTATTCTGCACTTTAATATAATAGGGAGAGATTAATGGAAGTGGGAAAATATAAAGGAAGCAATAGAAATGGGATGATCCCAGTCAAAAGGTGACACCCACACCCTATCTAAAATATAATTAATGAAATAGGGTGATTATACAATCAGAGCTTTTTTAAAAATAAAATACCTTAGAATTTAGTCAGTTAGAACAATTAATCAGTGGAACAACCTGCCTCCAGAAGTTGTGGGTGCTCCAACACTGGAGTTTTTAAGAAGAGATTGGACAACCATTTGTCTGAAATGGTATAGGGTTTCCTGCCTAAGCAGGGGATTGGACTAGAAGACCTCCAAGGTCCCTTCCAACTCTGTTATTCTATTCTATTCTAGTCCTTGATCCTTTCTGATAATTGGCTTGAGCAAGCATAGCCCTTCAAAAGTATCCTGACTTTTTGTTTCTACTGAATGAATTAAGTGGACTTCATGGCCTTTCCACACATCAACTGGTTCTCACTTTTCAAGCTGCGTCTCTCCACACCCCCTCCATTTCAGCTGTAAGAATGATGGGAATGGTTGTGCAGGTTCATGATGTGCTACTCCTGTTAGGTAGTGGGAGTCAAAACTTCATCCCAAAGTACTTAAAATCGAACAATGAATAGACCACAATCTATGTTCTAGCTACTTTTATTTTAACTGATTTCAGGATCCCTTGTGACAATCCAGGTTATTTATCAAACTGGCAAATGTTTAGCATAACAGTTGTAACCTGTAATATTGTCCAACTAGTATTGTGTGCAGAGGTGAAGGAGAAAGGCTATTTTTTTTTTTGAAGCAATGGGGAACTTTGATCTGATTCAATTATCTGTCTCCCATAGGATTATCCATTGTCTGGTGTCTGTGATCTTCCAGATGACAGTGCTCAGAGATTTGGAAAAGCTGGCAGGCTGGCTTCGTATCACTATCATTTTCATCCTCAGTGGCATCACAGGCAATCTGGCTAGTGCCATCTTCCTACCCTACAGGGCAGAGGTAAGGGCATTGCTGGGCTTTTCTGTCGAAGGAGAATCTTCTTATAGTTGTATGAATGAGCTTAAAATAAATATTCCCCAGGTGCACTGGATCATGTTCTGCAGCCCCCAAATTTGAAAATGCTATTAAATCTTCAAAATCAGTAGCAATAGGAGAACTTGATCACTGTAAAAAACCAACAAGAATGCTTTGCATCCAGTACTAAGTTCTTATAGCAAAGGAATATAGAAATAAGATTAGTAAAAAGAACACATTGGCACGACCCAACTGTGCTGTCTTTTGAATAGTTGGCAGCATGCAGCTGACCTAGGTTGATCTCAAAAAGCTAAACCAGATCAATCCGGGTTACTACAAGTATGGGAGACCAGAAAATGTAAAGGTTGTAAACTAGACTGGGAAAGCAAACCACTTTTGCAACTGCCAGTAAAATCACATACAGGTGTCCATGATGTTATTTGGAGTTGAGCTCCTTTTGTCACGATGATAGAAATACATGATTTTTAGATTCTGAAATATTTGAGGTCACTGTTTGAGAGTACTGTTTTGTTTACAGGGCACTGATGTAAAAGTAGGATCTACATTTGCTCTACATGAGCAAAAGGCAGCATATGAACAATAAGAAGAAATGGCTTTTAAAATATTCCTGTATAACTACTGAATTTATCTTTTTCTCATACATATTCCCTTCTTTCTCTGTCTCCATGCTGGCTTTGTTCAGACTATCATATGCTCTGGTAATCATTTGAGACATGAACAATGGTTCAGGTTGAGAATGCAATCATTTCATGAAACTGAAAAACAAGCCAGCAAATTACAGTTAATTACAGCTTTCCCTTAATTCCAAAGGGTGATATTATGGTTAAAGACTTTTGATCACTTCTGAAAATGAAGTCATGGTTTTGAAGTGAGTATCACATACTGAAATAATTATAGCTTTCCAGTGTGGATATAAAGAGGAAGTGTTCTTAACCCAAAACTTTTGGTCTTGTTAGCATACAAAAGGGAAGGAATGCACAAAAGGTGTTTGGCAGGACCATAACTGTTGTTGGCATCCCAGTTTAGTAAACAGAGATAAAGCTTTAAAGGTTTCCCCTGTCTAGACATGACTGACTCTAGGGCAGTGGTTCTCAACCTTTTTAATGCCGCGACCCCAACCGGTCGTAAGTTGAGGACTAAACCAGTCGTAAGTCGAGGACTAAACCGGCCGTAAGTCGAGGACTACCCAACCAGTCGTAAGTCGAGGACTTTCCCTGCCCGGGAGCACCACGCATGTGTGGTTCCGCCCCCTGCGCCGGCCGAGGCGTAGCTGGCAAGCGGCAGAGACGGAGCAGGCCGATCACCAGCTGGCCCAGCCCAAGGGAGGTAAGGCACCTGCCGGAAAAGGGGGGAAAATGGCGGACAAAAAAAATGGCGGACAGCCTTGCTTGGCGACCCCCGTGAAATGGTCAATCGACCCCAAATGGGGTCCCGACCCACAGGTTGAGAACCACTGCTCTAGGGGGCAGAGCTCATGTCCAATTCTCAGCTGAAGGAGCTTGTGTTGTCTGAGAGACATTTCCATCATCATGTGGCCAATATGAAAATACAAAATGCAGTAACAGTTCCTGTAGAAGCAGTACCTATTTATCTATTCGCACTTGCACATTTTGAACTGTTAGGTTGGCAGGACCTGGGATGACCTCACCCCATCGCACATGGGTCTTGAACCTGGACTGTCAGCTTTCCAGCTGGAAAACTGACAGTCCAGGTTCGAGAACTGTGCCTAATGGGTTGAAGTTCCATTAGTCACCGCAGGTCCTCAGCCATTGTGCCACCCAGTAAACAGAGATAAGACTACTTAAATATGAGATGTCATTTCTTGCCATCCATAGTGGCAAGGAAACTGAATGACTGACTGGAATCAGTTTCTTGACAACCTTGTGGTTGTCCCTCATATTCAGGAGGTCAGGAAGCTCAAAAGTCTTTGTCTTTCAGTGATGGGGCCAGCCCTCTGCTAGGATCTCCTATTGCAGATTTCTCTGCCAGCAACATTTTCCATCTTCCAAAACATAAAAAAATAAATCAGAGCTTATCCAGAGAACTTTTGAGGGTTAATGCCATACACTATGTTTGCGCTTTGTTTCTTTTATCCTTGTGTTTCAATATTTTATTTTACTTTCTGACTTTTGTGAGCCACTCTGAACCCCGTGGCTGTGGCAGGATAAAAATATGATTAATCAATTAATAAATTGTAAGGCATGTTGTGTTGCTGGATCTGGTTTGTGTTACTGAGTGTGTCTTTGTTTCCAGCTTTCAGGTTGTCGGGACGTCAGGATTGCAATAAGTTGTAAATAAAGTTTTGGTTTTTAGGATTTGATTAGATTTGTTATGATGATAGAAATATAAAAGAGATTATTTTATTATATATTTGTAACTGTACTGGAGAAAATGAGATGTTATTCTTTTTTAATCCCTTTTCCTTGTTTGGTCACTTTTTAACTTTTTCCCCCTTTGAGACCCTTCCTTGTTTTTAATCTTTTCTTTTTTATTATTACCTTGCGTTTTATCTTTCTTTGAAATTTAATATTTTTGGGGGGGGAGGAAGGAGAGGACTTGTATACCATATGGTTTCTATTAATCAGAGAAGTGGCCCAAGTGAGCTGGCTAAAGATTGGATTTGGGGCCCTAGTTGGGGAAAAGCACAATGGAGATGGGAGGGAGGGAGGGAGAGAGAGAGAGAGAGAGACAGAGAGAGAGACAGAGAGAGAGAGAGAGAGAGACAGAGAGAGAGACAGAGAGAGAGAGAGAGAGAGAGAGAGAGAGAACAAGAAGAGCAGTATAATCCAGGGGTGTCAAACGGCCAGCCCATGGGCCAGATGTGTCATGCCGAAACTGCGCCCACCCCATTGCCGGCAATGGGGGAAAAAATCGCAATACGTCACGACACGTCACGTGACGTTGCGAGTTTGACACCCTTGGTATAATCTGTTATTTTTCGCTGGGCAGGAATCTGTTTGCACTTAAAACTGGAAGATCATTCAGATGTGATCTCTAGTTCCAGTTCTGGGAAAGTGCCCTATTGATATTTTTACCTTTCTTTTTCCTGTCAGTTGGAGTCCCTTTGCTTTTCTAGCCTGAAAACCCCTGGACCTCTTTGTTACCGAGAAATAAATTCATTAGGGAAAGTTTTCAGAAAGAGCACTAAGCAGCTTTTGGCCCAAATTCTCTGCCAAATTCTCTTGATCAGGAGCAGTTTTCCCTTTGTCTCATTTCCCCCTCCCCCCCCATTCCTCCTTGTTCTTGGCACGTGGCTGGTGAGTCAACTGGCCTGGCCAGCTGCCATCTGATTTCTGGCCCAGCACAGAGTGGGAAGCCGGAGTGGATCTGATGATGTCATTGCTGACATGTGGCAACAAAAGGAAGTGCTGATTCAGCTTCGGCTGCTGCTTTGAAAGGGAGTAGAGAAGACTGGAAGGTTTGCTGAAGGGCTGCGCCAGCCGATGGAAACAACCCCTCCCTTGTGTTTTCCCTTTCCCTGCCTAGTAGCCTAAGCAACCAAACAATATACAAGATGTGATGCATAGCTCTCTGGACCAGTGGAAGCCTAGCATCTTACATACTAGTTGCAAGCCTGTAACTGAGAACCTCTGGTCTTTAAGCGCTTCAGACCGCAAGCCTCCATGGAAATGAGGGAGGCTCAGCAGCCTTTCCAATCCAGTGCAATGTTGGCCCAGGTGTTGTCTGTCAGCCTGCAAGATAAACAGAATGGAACAAGACCAAATTTCCAGGGGGAGGGGGAGTAGAAAGCAAAAGACAGATCAAGTCACAAATGGACTAACATTTGTGGAGGGGAAAAAAATCCAGAAAACATTCCCAATGTATACTTTCTGGGAGAAACAGCTCAGGATGCCACAAACTCCTCTGTTCCGAGTAGCTCCTTCCTGACCAAGAATGGAGCACAGACGATCCAGAACATGCACTGTCAGCCCTCTCAGCTAAACCAAGCGTGTTGAGATGAGCTCATTCTACTTTATTATACGGCTACATTAACAGAATCTTGCAAGTCTGAAAGTAGAGAACTTCCTGCCACCACTTTTAATCGCCTGAACGATTGTGTCCTTCCTAAATTTCTTCCTCTGACCGTTAAACCACTGGGGCAGGGGTAGGCAACCTTGGCTCTTTTATGACTCATGGACTTCAACTCCCAGAATTCCTGAGTCAGCTATGCTATGCTATGCTGACTCAGGAATTCTGGGAGTTGAAGTCCATGAGTCATAAAAGAACCAAGGTTGCCTACCCCTGCACTGGGGGCTCTTGCCTCTTGTCTGATTGACAGCATCTCTTCCCCTCATCCCCAAGGCCATCCACAAATTTTGTTATATGCATACACACACACACAAACACCACATGAAACACAGAGATGCACCTGCTCTGATGATGCCCTCTCATGCATTCATCCGCATGCGCGCGCACACGCACACACACACACACACACACACACACACACACACACACACATGGAGGAACTCTGCAGACAGAGCAAATACAGAAGTCTTATATGGCCATTGTTTGTAAAACAGTTGGAAAGAATTTCAGAAGCCATACTTCGCACATGCTTCCTCTGTCTCGTTTTTTTTTCAAGCAAATTTGTCAGAATTTGTGTAAGATGACAGATTTCGCATAGCAAAGGGTGGGGTGTAATTCAGAAAAAAACAGGGTAAGTAAAGTGCTAAATGATTTTGCTGTTTGGAGGCAAAGAGTGATAGACTATATAGGGCTAGTATCGGGTGNGAGAGAGAGAGAGAGAGAGAGAGAGAGAGAGAGAGAGAGAGAGAGAGAGAGAGAGAGAGAGAGAACAAGAAGAACAGTATAATCCAGGGGTGTTAAACTGCCGGCCCATGGGCCGGATGTGTCATGCCGAAACCGCGCCCACCCCATTGCCGGCAATGGAAAAAAAATCACGATACGTCACGACACGTCACGTGACGTTGCGAGTTTGACACCCTTGGTATAATCTGTTA